CCATGATCCCCGCCCTAGATGGAGAAATGCGGCTGTCTATGGCAGGATAGCTGTCAGCCTGGCCACCAAAGGCCACTGTGAATCCAGGAGCAGGTTTGCATGAAAATCAAGTTGGTCTGGCGAGACCCCCAACCCTGGGCTCTGAGCTTCCCCTCCCCCTTCTTCCCCTTGCTTCCCCCTTCCAGATCCCTCCTCCCAGATTTCCCCCTCCCCTCTCCCACCCTCTCTTCTCCTCTCCTACCTCCTTTTCCCAGTCTCCCCAGAGGTTCATTCCCCCCTCCCCCCAGTTTTGTTCAGTAAACCCAGTTTCTATTTTGAACATACATGTCTTTTATTTGACATCAGGAAGGGGGGCTAGGAAGGGGTTGGTGGAAGGACGCGAGGGAGGAATGGGGCACGAACCCCCGGTGGGGAGGACCAGGGTGGCTCTGAAGGCTCCTCAGGTTGGAAGCTCTCCTGCAGGGCTTCCTGGATCCTGACAGCCCCCCGATATACCCCCCCGGATAGCAACCTGCAGCAAGTGCAGCCGGGCTGATGGCCGAGTGCTGTGATGTACTGAGTGTGGGCACTCAGGGCACGCCAAGACAGGACTGCCTTGCTGTCCCTCATTGAGTTAGACAAGCAAGTGGGGAACCCTGAGAACTGTCTGTCCGGGGTGGGGGTCGGATCCCTTTAAGCACAGCCCTCAGCTAGCCTGAGGCAGCAGCTCCACACTCTTAAGTCCTAACCTGATGCCCTGCCGGCACTGGTTCCGGCCAGCCTTAACTTTGGTTCAGGTCCACTCAATGTGGACATGCTATTTTGAATTAGCAAAACGCTAATTCGAATTAGTTTTTAGGTCTAGATGCACTAATTCGAATTAGCTTAGTTCGAATTAACTAATTCGAATTAAGTTAGTTTGAATTAGTGCTGTAGTGTAGACATACCCTCGGAAAGCAAGTTATTCCAGTTGCGATAGCTATAGTTTGTTGGTGAGAAACAACTTCATATGTGTATGTGATAGACTTCAGTGGAAATATATAAATGCAGAGATAATATACTTGCTAAAATATATACAAATACATTTAAATCCACAGGTTGTAAAGATAATGTAATGAAATACAGCAGAAATTGCATAGAAGTGGGTAAGTGCAATAGACGTACCCTGGATTTATTTTCACAAATGTTGCAACATGGACAACCTTGATTCTTATTTTCTAACTTTAAAAGTTTTTAAAATACTGAAAAGGGGGTTGGACACCTTGTGGCCAATTTCAGTCCAAGGATATGTATAGGTAGTTGCAAATGAGAAAGAAATAAACCTGCTCATAACTCTACAAGATTATATTTATCTATACCTTGAATAGGCCACAAAGGCCTCTGTCCTTTGAGACTAATTAAATGAATCTAATTAAATAAAAATAGTCCCATACAAATGTGCACATATTGACATCAAACTATCTTGTTTTCTGTAGTTTTGGCAAACAGCCACCTTTATGGACAATCTTTGCAATAGCAGTATGTTGATATCTGATCTCTTGTGTGTGATATCAAATCTGATTTATGTATCAACCTCAATCCCAGATGTGGAATGTGGATTGAAAGCAACAACTGTTAAATAGGATGCAGAGACCTAAATCTGAATCTTGCTTCTTATATCAAATTTGAATTCCCCTGAAATCAAAAGTTTGAGAACCCTGCAAAATTCCTAAGGTATCAGTAGTCTGTACAGAGAGGATATTTCCATACTTCCCAGTTTGAGGCTATGTCTAGACTACATCCTTCTTTCGAAAGAGGGATGTAAATTAGACAGATTGAAATTGCAAATGAAGCCAGGATTTGAATTTCCTGTGCTTCATTTGCATTATGGCAGCCGCACGTTCTTTTGAAAATGGGTATTTCAAAAGAAAAACTGCTGTCTAGACGTGGTTCTTTCGGGGGAAAAACTTTTTTTGAAAGATCCTGTACTCCTCAAAAAATGAGGTTTACAGGATCTTTCGAAAAAGGGTTTTGTTTTTTTTTTTTGGAAAGAACCGCATCTAGACAGCAATTTCACGTTCGAAATACAGGCAGTCCCCGAGTTACGCGGATCCGACTTACGTTGGATCTGCAGTTATGAACGGGGCCCTCTCCCTGGTCTCCAGCAGACCAGGGAGAGGAAGCAAAGCGGCGGAACACGCGAGCAGTGGACAGCCCAGACGCGTCTGGGCTGTCGGCTGCCCGCGTGCTCCGTGGCTTTGCTCTGCTTTGCTCCCCGTCCCCCTGGCTGCATCTGGGCTGTCCGCTGCCCACGTGCTCCGTGGCTTTGCTCTGCTTTGCTCCCCGTCCCCCTGGTCTGCAGACCAGGGGGACGGGGAGCAAAGC